TCTAAAAATGGAAGTTTTGCTAGTAGAAAATATCTGTTTCATCGCCTAGTAAAAAAGCTTACAAGTTGTAATCATGAACTACAATTCAATTGCTGGGGGAGCAATTTAAGTTCACTTTGTCACTGTTTTCACTTGTCTTCAGCAGAAACACTTGGGAACTATAGCCATTAACAGAATACTTGCTTCAAAAAAAACTTTTTTTTATAAAACTATAGCCTTAAAGAATTATTCTAATAAATTAATATTGTTAATTTTTTTATATTAAGGTAAGTTACTTTGTATTCATTGGAGGAAGCTGAAGGCACCTCTGTTTTTTGTTTTTTTTTCATTGTGCTGTCAGGTTCTCCTTAAGAGTCAGGTCAGAGTCAGAAATTATCAGTCCTTAAACTAAAAATCTTTGATAAATTAAATCAAAACTTCATTTGTTAGTATTGTAGTTTCTAATAATGAACCAAGACTAGAATTAAATCCAAAACTATTCACTCAGTTCGCTTGTCTTTATAATTGTGAGACAGCTATCTGTAACAGCAATTTAGTCTAAATCACTATTATTTTTGTTCTGTAACTCTCATGAAATTAATTTTCTGGAATTTTAGATTCAACAAGAAGCCAATATTAATGACAGAAAATATAAAGGTCCAGTAGACTGTGCTAAAAAGCTTTACAAGGAGGGAGGAATCAGAAGCATATACAGAGGCTCAGTGGCTACTCTGCTGAGAGATGTGCCAGCCAGTGGGATGTACTTCACAAGTTATGAATGGTTACAGCATGTCCTAACACCTGCAGGTCATGAGTAAGAAGTAATTTATACTTTGGTCTTAAAGATCCTAGAGCTAGCAGCTAAAACATGACTAGAAGAAAAAAAAAATTAAAGCTCAGCTAAAAATAAGAAAGAATATTAAAAGTTATTTATATTTTTTTTTTAAAAAGTACATCTCATTTGAATGAAAGACGTATTTATATGATGCTAATAGAAGTAACAAATTGTTTTATCTAATATAGTTTTGTTTTTTATTTATTCATTTAAGAATCTGGCATGAGTTTTACTTAACTTGATGTTCTATCAGAGACTTGGAATGAATGTTTACTTTATTATCATCCCTTGATTTCATTTTGTCCAGTAATGATAGAATTTTATATTGACATATTTTTTGTCCCCTTATATACTAAGTACATTCACCTTTAAAAAAAATAATGGATTATACTAGTTTTGTTAGCTCTAATTGTTCTGATTTAGACTTAATTATTCAATTAATGCCCATGCCATTGTACATTTTTCAGTCGATCAGAGATGAGTATAGGCAGAACCCTATTTGCAGGCGGTATGGCAGGAATATTTAACTGGTCTGTAGCCATTCCTGCAGATGTTTTGAAATCGAGACTTCAGACTGGTAGGTTGAGTTGAATTAATATTGTCTTTTGATATAATTTATAAAAATTCTCATGTGCTCATTAACTATAACCTAATGACATTACTAAGTTGACCTTTTACCTTATTTTTAAACAACATTATATCTTTTAAGATAATTAAAGAATTTGTAGGCAAGTTCTTATTTTGAACAAGCTTTTATAAACATATACATTTTCTATTATTCCAAAAATGAATTATTAAAAAAAATAAAGAATTTTTCTTAGTCTAAAAAGTATAATTAAAAATAAAGATTATTATTATTATTATTATAATAAATTGTTCTCACTTAAAATATTACAGCACCACATGGTACATATAATGGTCTCCGTGATGTGTTGAGCCATATAATAAAGGAAGAAGGTGTGACAAGTTTATACAAAGGTTTCACACCTATCATGTTGAGAGCTTTCCCAGCCAATGCAGTAAGTAACTAGGAAGACAGAATGACACCATTTTTTTCAGAGCAACTAAAAAACTTTTTTATGTGGCTTTCAAAACACTACAGTATTCTTGTCTAATTAAGTTATTAGGATAAACGTGCACAGGCTGTAAAATAGTTTTAGTTCTAATACAAGATAAGATGGGACTGTACAGTTAAAAGAAATGTCACTTTAATTTAATAATCTGGTTGTGGAATATGCATAAAATTCTTCAGCACTTAATTTGGGATCTTGAGTTTGCAGCCAGTTTGAGGAAGTTAATTAAAAATGTGTTTATACTATTACATGATTTAAACAAAATTAAATAACTAAAAAATATTGAAATACTTGCTTTCTTCACTTTCACCAATCCTTTTTTTTTAGTCTGTTGGAATGTTAGGGCACCACATATGATCTGTCTACTGTATCTCTCCATTCCTTTTTGTTTTTTGCAATTACTAGAATCTTGTGCTACTTTATTGAACAGATTGATATTTGAAATACTATTATTACTTTTCAAAAACTTTTTTTTCTTCTCCAGTTTGTTCTTCACCATGATAATAATGTCTTGATTCTATTTAATAATGTCTTGATTCTATTTAATAATGTCTTGATTCTATTTAATAATGTCTTGATTCTATTTAATAGTGTCTTGATTTTATTTCAGGCTTGTTTCCTTGGTTATGAAGCAACAATGAAATTTTTAAATTGGGCAGCGCCAGGTTTATAAAGATTTAGTTTAGATTTTTATTTGTATTATACATTAACAATGTACAATGATAATATCTCATATTATTGAGAATGTAAAAGTATTTTTCTGTAAACTCAGCTTAAAAACATCATTTAGCAAACTTGTTTTATAATTTCAATAAACAAATATTTTTCTGATTTAAATGGGTCATTTATTTATTTATATATATTGTCATCACAACCTCGCTCTGTGAAAACTGGCACACTAATTGCAGATGACAAGTAACAGCTCTGGCAGAAGAAAAGCATTTGAGAAAAAAAAGGCCAATGACACTAGCTTCAGCGGGATAGTTTTCACCATACACACAAGGAGGCACAAATCCCAGTCCACAGTCTTCACTTCAACCCCCTGGATGACAAGTGGTCATCATCAAAACATGATGGACTAACTGTATGCATATGTAATGAAGCAGTTCTGTAAGGTTGTTATAGCTGGAAGTGGTAATGGATATAAGCACTCTATTCCTATAAAACGCTTCAAATGGCATGTCTCAAAAAGCCTCTGACAACCAGTAATGGTCTTTAAGTATGGACTGCTGTGATGATCCTAGTTGTTTTGTGACTAAAGGACATATATTATGAAGCATTTTATGCATCTTAAAACACATCTCTTTTTGTAAATTAACTCCATTACCCTATGTTGTGTTAACCAAGTTATGATATGTGTCTGAAGCTATTAGCTTGGTCAGCACTTTTGTAACTTTTCTGAACAATCACCAATTAGTGAGTCCCTGTAAAGTTAGGAACCAATATCGCTGTGAATTATAATAATAATCATTAAAAAAACAGGAGTTGTATAAATATTAAACTGCCAAAAACTCTTATGTGTGATTTTTGTAAAGTCAGAGTCATGCTTAAAAGAATAATTTTAACAGGCTAACTTGGTTCATATTCAAACTACATTATCACTTGTATTCTGTATTGTGCTTTTTGCTTGGGTCCCACTAGCCCCTAAATCCAGGGTGAAAATGTGCCACCACACTGTGCTCCAGATGCAGTTTCTTGGTGGATAGAGCAATTGAGTCCTGCACAATATTGTCAGGCAGAAAATTTTTTTTTTCAAACACTGCCTTCCACTTAAAAAGCATTTTTCCTCCTGACCAAAATAACAATGGCTGTTAGTTATGATGTGTATGCTTTTGTGATAAAATGCCACTGAAGTAAGGATGGCTTACTTACCTGTTTTGGCAGTACCTCATTGCAAATAGGGTACGGAGGCTTCTGATGAATGCTACTTTCAATGTAATAAAAAACCCTATAGCTTATCTTCTTATCTTACATGATACTGACCTTAATTCAAAAAAGATGATTACGTCCTATGCGTCATGCATTTAGTTATACATATTAACCAATTTCCTAAACTCTGCCAAGTCACTGTCTTTTTTGGCTAGCTCAGGCAACCCATTCCATGCTCTAATAGTGCTAGGGAAGAAGGAGCTTTTGTACAAATTTGTCCTAGCATATGGGGCAAGGAATGTGCCTTTATCTTTGTGTCTGAGTATTTTATTAAATTTTGTATTTGAAGATTATGGTTCAGTGTTTTATGTATAATTGCTACTTTACTTTTAAGTCTTCTATCCTGAAGGCTTTCTAAATTTGGTGATTTTACTAAAGGTGTTACTTTAGTCAAATGTGAATATTCATTTGTTATGAATCTCACTGCTCTTTTTTGTGTCTGTTCCAGTTTCTTAATGTTTTCTTGAGTCAAGGGGTCCCAAACAGAGGATGCATATTTTATTATTGGCCTAACCAAGGTTAAATAACATTTTAGTTTTATGTTCTTATTTGATTTATATAAATTTCTTCTAATAAACTCTAAAACTTTGATTTTTTTATAGTTTCATCAATCTGGGGATTCCATGACAGTTTTTCATTTACTATAACACTTAGGAATTTTGCATTTTTAGCTAACAGCTTTCATTATACTTGTGATTGGCAGTCTTTATTTTCTTCTTTAATGTTTTGGTAATAAGGAAAAAATTTATGTTAAAACCATGCCTTTGGGATTCTTGTACATATGCAATTCAAAGTCATCCATTTTACTTGTAGTAAAACTGCACGCAAGTATAAAATGCGTTTACCTTGAGACAAACCATAAATCAAACTGAAACGTTTGCTGAGAAACCAGACTTGACATGCTAAACAGACAAGAGACTGGTGTTAAATAATTTCATGTTTTTGTTCTCTCTGAGTAAACACAATAAGATGAATGAAGTTAAAAAGAGATAAACTGAAAGATCTAGGCATTGATTCATGCAAAATAGTGGACCACATGACTACCACTCAACATTGCTTGAAGTACTGTTACCCATACCACAGTTTGTAAAGCACAGTGATAAGTGGTACAAATTCCTGTCCACCTTATGACATCACAATTTCCATTTCTTTGGATATTCTTACAGATAAAATGAAAACAAATTGTTTTGTTTATATATATAATAAATGGAGTTTAATATTAATAGAACATTTACAGGTCTCTTTCATACACCAATTATCAACAAAATCATTTCTGACAAATGAAACATGTACATAACATATATTAAAAAGTAACAGTCATAATATACTTATATGTAATATCTAATTGTATTCTTGAAAAATAATTGAAATAAAAAAAAATGTTTTAATGTCAAAGAAATGCCGCCAAGTCTGAAATTTAAAGAATATGATGGCCTGTGTCACATTGGAAACATCCGACCTAAACAACAATTTCTGAACAGCAGCGTGGCAAATACCAACAAGAACTTTTACACTACATTTAAATTCCTAACAAATGAGGGGGAAAAAACACTATGAACTGATATAATTATATACAGAATAATTTATGTTGCTAATGTTCTTTTAAATTAAGTATAAAACACTCAATACACACTTCTTAGGTTAGGCTTCTATTAATGTTTACATCATAGAACACCTGTAGTATTGATAACTGATACTGGTAAGCTTATCATGCAAGCTAGAGAGATTTTTTTGTTTTCATTTGCTAGCAAAAACAAACTAAAATAAATAGGTATTAAAAAAAAGATATGCTAAAATTATAAAGGAAAAAAAAAGCTAAAAGTTAAAACTACTTTCCACCTGGAAGAGACCCACAGATACGACTCTACATATCATTTTGTATGCCTTTAATTATAACAATGGTAGTCACACATTAACCCATGATTTCATAAAAACAGATTCAATTGTTGTACATATCCTTGATACAAGTCAAAATTAGGATAGCACTTCTATGGTTTTAATCTAAATGTTCAATTTAATGTTTAAAACTTATTTGATGATCTTTATTTTCTAACTACACATTTTTTCTTAAAAGAATCAAATAAACTGAAAATAAATTGATAAAAACTGGACCTCACTTATCAAAACCAAATGTATTTATGACCAGCAAGCATTTTATCCATGTTTCCTCAATGCCTACATACCACCAACTAAAAATAGGATTACATTGCAGGCAGACAAGTAAAAATAATGAGTCGTTGATAGTCAAAAGGAAAAGTATCACAAATATTCTTCATCATCACTTCCATTCTAGAATGACAGTAATACAGTGGTGTCAAGAAAAATAGCAGCAGATACTTCTATCATAGTAAGGCTGTGAATGTTTCCTCGGACCTGCTGTTACACTTGCACATGGTAGAACTATTGAACTCAAGGAGAAATACAGCACCAATCCTAGAAAAATAAAATATACATATTTCAATTCAGTCAACTTTAAACTGCCATGTAGTTTATCCAAAAGATGCTGGATGGTATTATATTTTTTAGACAAGTAAATATTCTTACCACGATTAACATTTTATTTAGTCTGAACAAAGGTGTCACAGAGAAGAGTAAAGAAAAAAGAAAAGAGGGAATAGCTTGCCACTGTAATAAAAGGGGAAATAACAGCTTGTGCTGTTCTACCCTCAGTGAACAGAAAATAGGAAACTTCCATTCTAGATCTAACTAATATGAACTGTGATAAAAATTATAAAGGTTGCAATCTATTAGAAGAGTAGCAGAATCAGTATAACCAACATTATTTAGTTGTTATACTTAGTGGGTTTATTTATAAAAGTGTTTGAAATTTCTATTCCTGGATTTATTACATTCATTTATAAGTCATGCGAAAGCTTACATTTATTTTGACAATGCTAACGTATTAAACTGAACCAAACTTGACAGTAGGCAATTATTTTGTTAGACTTGGAATACAAGAAAAACAAAACAAACAATTTTGACAAATAATACACACACAAAAAAAGTTGTTTTTTTGGGGGCTGACAAAAACCAACACATGTATTAAGGAAGTTTATCCTTCAAGGCTTCTGTTTAATTTTAAAATGTTTTTTCTTCATTAGATTGATATCATGTTGACAAGTTAACCCAATTCTCAAGGGCTGGTTTAATACCAATTAATGGATGCAGAGATAGGTAAAAAAACACTGTCATATCCACAAACATCTAGGCCACACAGTGATGTTTAATAGTCAAGAACAATTGATGCATGTGCTATTTCTTTTTCACAAATAACCAAAAATAAGAAAAATATGATATAGTTCACAGAATGCACATACCATCATCCTGAATTAAAGAAACTAAACTGGAATGTGTTAGAAATTTTTCAGAAATTCTTCAGCACTTATTCTGGCTCTAGAGTTGACAGCCAGCTTGAGGAAATTAATTTCTTTGTCTATTTCCTCCATGAAGTGAATGATAAAGTCCACAAGTTTATGCTTGTACATCTGTTCTGTGTGGAAGTTGGTTATCAAGAAGCTGATGTCATATCCCTTTGGGGAAAATGAGATGAAATATTAACATACATCAATGTGCACACACACACATATATATTTACATCAACAATTTAAGATTATGAGAATGTAATAAGGATTGTTTCTTTAATTTTTTTATTAGAGTTTTTCACCCTTAAAAAATCATTTCTAAGACACTAAGTAATGACATTATATTTATTGTGGCAGTGGTGGTCATCCGTAATTATTTTTTTCTTTAATATACCTCCCAGATGTAAGTTTGGACACGCAATCAATACTAATTTAAAAATAAAACAGCCACTCACTTCAACTTGTTTTCGTCTTAAGATGGCAAAATTTTCAGCTCTCATCATCATGAACCGTGTGAACTTGTGACATAAAATTCTCTCTATCTCATCAGCCTAATGTACAGAAAACAATTTTACACAATAAATCATCTTATTTGTATTCTTCGACTAATGAAATACAATTTTATACCAGCAAACAAGGTAATTTTTGTTTTTTACAATAAAGGGAGTAAACTATGTCAAAGTCATCGTCAAAGTTCTGATATCACATGTAAACAGTTTCACCATATTGACACTTTTGTTATAAAGAAAAATAAAAGTTTTAATAGTAAATAGGAAGTAGGGGTGGGGTCATTGTAACTGTATCAAACTAAGAGCCAAACAATTTACACCATTACTAAAGTCTGCATTCAAATCTTGTACAATAATTCATCATATAACATATTGTCTGCAAGTTTCTCAAAAACTCCATGCAGATACAAATTAATTTGTAACACTTTGTTACTAAATAGAAAGCAGTGATTACCAACCCTTTTAAAAAGTAATACCATCATGTACTGAAATAAGCTGCAAAAAAGCCTTCAGAAATATTTTCACACTCTATTTTAAAGACAATTAAAGAATAAATAACAAATTGATTTTTAAAAATTCTTACAAACCTGTTTAATCGCTATGCTGATTCGTAAAGAGTTGATGCTGCCTTCTATTAATACTTTTTCTCTTTCATTTCGACTGATGACTATTGGGGTTAAAAGTAGCTCTTTATTGCTTCTGAAATCCACAATGAAAAGGATTTTAAAATACCATGTATAAATACATTTTTAATGTAACAAAAATAAATCTGTGCAATCAGCAATATTTTTCATCAATTATTTTTGTTTAGCGCGCTTTCATGCTTTTAGCTTCCTCAATGCGCTGACATGATCCTATTATACTTGTCTGGACCGGTTGAAAAAAGGGGGGAAAGAGAAGAGAGAGAGATATCTAGAAAAATGTTACCCTGATCATTTTTGAAATGCATTTAATAAAAAAATACACTAACCAGTGATGGGCTTACAGAAGGTTTTACAGTTATTTTTTGTTAATTAAGTGATGACCTAATTCTCTACACAAAATATCAATTATAATTTTTTCCCTTCTTTGGTACCAAACAAAATAAATAATTACCAATTGTTAATTAACTAATTGGTTAATTTTTATTGATTCTTGTTTTGTAAGGTACAAGAAATGTGTAAATTTTCAACCTGATCCAAGTAAGAAAATAATGATAAATAAGTACATCTTTTAAAAAAAAAATTGAAACCCTGATAGATTTATTCATGCAACATGAGCTCTAATGTAGTTTACTCTGTTAGTTATTGGATGGATGCCTGGTTGTGCGGCTTGCACGCTGGACTGCCATTCAAATTTATCGATGGTCCTGGGTTCAAACCCTGCCCGCTCCAATCCCCTGTTGTCCTACGGGAGGTTTGGACTAGGAAGTAATTATCTTCAACTCTGAAGGAACATCCGAAACATGTAAAACATTTTACAGATTCCAAACTGAAAAGCTAAAACTATGAAACTAATAGGAAGCTTTATTCCTAAGTATAATATTGAAAACTGAGTAGAATTAACAGTTGTTTTTTTTTAATTGCAAGGTTAAATCATGTGATCAACATCTTTGTACATGACTGTAAAAATAATTGGTACCAATTTGATCTTCTAAGCTAAAACATGGTGTAAAATTGCAGTATAGGTTTTAAAGTTAAAACATTTAAGTGCCCAAGACAATTTTTGAAATCCCATGGTTACTTTTATTTAATGAAACGATATCAAATTAGAAGGTGCTGGCATATTTGAACAGATAATAAATCCCATTTACAATTTAAAAAATTCAAAATTAATATTTATTAACAATGGACTTACTTTACTTCCACTTCTGGCTTGTTGTGTCTCTCAACATTCTGTGAATCGAAGTTCTGAAGACAAATGGCGGCATTAAGAGTTTCTCTAATAGCATTTAAATAAGGCTTCAGAGTGGCAGCCTTTTTGAAAAGAAAATATATAAAATAATAAAAACATTTCTTAAGATAAAATTCTTTTAAAGGAAAAATTCAAGCAAAACAGTTGTGAACAATTTACAAATTTACAAAGCGTGCATAATTTATCTATATAAAACAGAACTCATGGAGATTTATATATATATATATATATATATATATATATATATATATATATATATATATATATTATCAAGAGAATATTCTTCGCTAACAAAAATTATTCTTTGCTGCTATTGAATTAATAAACAAAGATTACTGCTACAGGGGTAAACGACTTTATAGAAAATACAAAAAAACATGCATACATGTAACCCTGCCTGACCAAATAAAACAAAGGACGTTTGGGCTTCGAGCCCTTCATCAGCTACAAAACAAACAAAAAATAAAAACAATTAACACAAAATAGTCTTAACTCTTTGGCTCCGCAACAGCGCACAGGACATTGATTTTAAAAAAGGGGAAAAAAGTCGGACCAACGCTGGGGGCATCGGCTATTTCAAAGTTTTTTTTTCGTTTCTATTTCTCCAATTCTTGTTTTTTATTGCTTAATTTTTTATCTAGAATAGTTTCCCTTTGCTAAACATCCGAATTTCCTTCATTTAACGTGTTTTTATTTTGTATGA